CTTCTTCTTCTTCTTCTTCTTCTTCTTCTTCTTCTTCTTCTTCTTCTAAAAACTTCGTCGAATCTCTCTTGCTAAGACCGTAGACAACAGGCTGATGTGTAGGTGTGATACGACCCTAGTGTATATTTAAGAACAGGCCTGTAGTAGAAAGTCTGCAAAAACACACGAAGAATAAGTTTGTGTGTCAACACCTGTAGGTGGAGAACGGATTTAAATCAAATTGCGGTGGCGAGAAACTCTCGACCTCGTCCCCATAGGCCAATTAATCTCCCTTATTCTTACCAGTTTCCTACTAATGTTTTCCGTTCAGCGAAATTCTGAACCAGACTGATCCAACCGAACAAACTTTGGTATCGATTCTGTCACGTGGGCCGCGCCGTAAAGCGTGCGGGACGTAGTCATTTTTCGACTGGCCCCTTTCACTGGGGCATGCGAGGCCTGTCCGTCTGGCGCTCACCCTCCTGGGTTCAGTCCTGTTCCTTGCCTGTCTGTCTTTCTACACCGCTCTCGCGGACGCGATTGATGTCATGTGACGGCGTACTGACAGCCAATCGCCTTCGGCGTCACATGAAAGCGGCAAAAATGCGAGTTTTAGGATTGGTGCCTGAGCAGCCAAGGTTGAGCGTTCTTACCCCATGGCCAGCAGACTCAAAGGCACCCCCAACACTTCGGCTACCCCACAGATAATTCAAGGCGGTGTGCCGAGTAACCGCCATCCCCCCTGCCCCCAGCAGGTCTTAAGATAGTGGCCTGTAGAGCTAAGATCATCTATTACAATTTTATCGGTCCCGACGTTGGGTGATGTCTACGTTCGACTCTCCGGTCCCTAGGTCATCCCCTTCTTTCCCTTTTGCCTGAGGGGTGCGTCGGTTTCCGCCAATCATTTACACTTTTTTTGCTGTCTTATTTTAGCCTGTTTACGTGGCTGGAAAAGTAGAGGAATGGCTTCTAGCGAAGGAGGCAGAAATGAGAAAGACCAATCGACTCATCACAAAACGTGCCCTTTTCTACTATTGCGACCGGAAAATCCGTGTCGACTGGATGCTCGACTACCTTGTGGGTTTTCTCTCGTTTGATGTTGCACTTTTTTGCCAGGATCAGTCTTCCCTCCAATTTCAAAAACGGAAAGAATCCATAATGCCTCCTTAGCCTCTGTTTACGCAGGAACAGTTTAAACTTCACTTTGTCAGCATCTGTTCGGTTATCACATCGGATCAGTTATCAGTCTGTGCTCATATGCACAAGGAAGCAGTAGTAATCTACGCATTGGCCAAACCTATCGATAAAACTTGTACATATGTATATGTTACTCACTATTTTATAGTAACATATTTTATGTTGGATATATTATGCACACAAGAGACCATCTGAATTTCTCACGCACACGTCGACCATACCTGCAGCCAAAATTTGTACATGTATATATGTTACTCACTATTTTATAGTAACGTATTTTATGTTGGATATTTCATGTATGCTGTTTTCAACAGGGTCTTCAAAGGCATTGCCTACTACCCTAAATATACTGAACTATACTGAACGATTTGTACTTATCGCAGAGAGTTAAGATAATAAGGTAAACTATAGCCAATTCGATCTTCAGGCACGTTTCCTTGTGGAAAGAGAAGAAGGGAAACGCCAGATGGAAGGAGTGGTTTATTCTTAGTTTTATTATTTCTGAAGATGGACTCCTGTAAGAGTTCGAAAGCTCAGGACCATAAACAAATTGCTCTGGTGCTCGAGAAGCTTTCTCCCCTATCCACGCAAATACCTAGACTGCGGACTTTCTCATGCATAATTTATTTTGTATAGAAGAGGTGGAGCTTAGGTCGGAGGAAGTTTACTACTGGACCACACGTCTAGCCGCGAGGGGGGGGGGCTTGGTCCGAAGTGGTGAGAGTGTAAACAGACATTGCAATGAGATCCTTTATGAGTCAGCCTAGAACGTGATTGACCAGATGGACTGGGTCAGCTTACATGTGTGGGTGTATTAGTGGCCGCCGTTAGAGGAGAGCGTTCGCGGCGCCTTTGATTGGCTGTCCCAGAGGCCGGTTGAGGCTTGCGATCA